CCATGATTGAAAGTTTCCTGAGGCCTCTTCAGCCATGCTTCCTGTACAGCCTGCAGAACTGTGAGCCAATTAAATCTCTTTTCTGTTTTTTTGTTTTTTTGCTTTGTTTTGTTTTTTTGAGATGGAGTCTCACTTTGTCGCCCAGGCTGGAGTGCAGTGGCACAATCTCAGCTCACTGCAACCTCCCAGGCTGGAGTGCAGTGGCACGATCTCAGCTCACTGCAACCTCCGCCTCCTGGGTTTAAGAAATTCTCCTGCCTCAGCTTCCCAAGTAGCTGGGATTACAGGTGCACAACACCATGCCTGGCTAATTTTTTATTTTTAGTAGAGATGGGGTTTCACCATGTTGGCCAGGCTGGTCTCAAACTCCTAACCTCAGGTGATCCACCAGCCTTGGCCTACTAAAGTCATGGGATTACAGGTGTGAGCCACCGCATCCGGCCTAAACCTCTTTTTCTTTATAAATTACCCAGTCTCATATTGCTATTTCTTTATAGCAGTATGAGGATGGACTAAAATGGCAACATAGCAAGACCCCTGACGAAGTTTCCTCTTGTCTACCCGATCCTGGCAAGGTAAATAACACATCACCGAAACTCAACCTTGACCTCAGCAAATGATCGATATGTCCCTGATTAAAAAGTTGTAACCGAGACTCTGAAATGGAATCCTGTGAACAACACTGAAAGGACAGAGCCCAGCTGCTGGTTGGCGGCAGCTACAATGTCCCAGGACAGGAAGCCCATCTTGGATCCTTCTGTGCTTGCATTCAGTTGTCCCCTCTTCTCCCACACAGCCTCCCAAAGCAAGCCCCACATTCTCCTTCAGTTGCTATTTTGTGAGTTGGGTTTCCCAACTTTAGTCAACATGTTGACAAATATATTCCTTGTATTATTATTCACTTAATATGTTCTTTTAAGTGCATATACCTCTTTCCATAATAAAAATACTTTTTTTCTGTCAGGCATGGTGGCTCGCACCTGTAATCCCAGCACTTTTGAAGGCTGAGGCAGGCATATTACTTGAGGTCAGGAATTCGAGACCAGCCTGACCAACAAGGCAAAACCCCATCTCTACTAAAAACACAAAGATTAGCCAGGTGTGGTGATTTATACCTGTAATCCCAGCTACTCAGGAGGCTAAGGCACAAGAATTGCTTGAATTCAGGAGGTGGAGGTTGCAGTGAGCCGAGATCACGCCACTGCACTCCAGCCTGAGCGAAAGAGTGAGACTGTCTCAAAAAATAATAATAAAAATAATAATAATAAATATAGTTATTTTCTGATTATGTAACTCAATGTATGCTCATTATAACAAATGCAATCAACACAAAAAAGCATAAGGAAGCCAAAACCCACCTGAAATCTCATCACCCAGGGAAAACCACCATCAACATTTCGATTCCTCCTTTCCTACATGTCTTTCTCCAAATATACACACAAATGTGATTTTACAGACATAAGGCATACTTTTTTGCTTAAATAAATGTATTCAAAAGGAAATGCTCTACTGGCATCATTAATAGCAAACTGCCATCACTTGCAAGAATAGAAAGTAACTCCTCCCAAATAAATACAACAAAAACAAAACAATGTGGCCGGGCGCTCACGCCTGCAGTCCCAGTACTTTGGGAGGCCGAGGCGGGCAGACCACCTGAGGTCAGGAGTTCAAGACCAGTCTGGCCAACATGGCAAAACCCCATCTCTACTAAAAAACACAAAAATAAGCCGGGCATGGTGCCAGGCACCTGTAATCCCAGCTACTCAGAAGGCTGAGGCAGGAGAATTGCTTGAACCCGGCAAGCGGAGGTTGCAGTGAGCCAAGATTGTGCCCCTGCACTCCAGCCTGGGCAACTCAGTGAGACTCCATCTCAAAAAACAAAACAATTGACTAAATATCTGGTCAGATACCACAACTCACCAAGGCTCCCAAGCCTGAGGCCCAGTCTCTAGCGGATAACAGAGGCAGATGAGCAAGTGTTGTCAGGGAGGGGCTTTATAGGTTAGCTTTTCTCCCAGGTGCAATTAGAAGAGAATGAGATGGCCGGGCGCAGTGGCTCACACCTGTAGTCCCAGCACTTTGGGAGGCTGAGATGGGTGGATCACGAGGTCAGGAGTTTGTTGACCAGCCTGGCCAACATAGTGAAACTCCATCTCTACTAAAAATACAAAAATTAGCCAGACATGGTGGCACGCACCTGTAGTCCCAGCTACTGGGGAGGCTGAGGCAGGAGAATCGCTTGAACCCAGGAGGTGGAGGTTGCAGTGAGCCGAGATCGTGCCACTGCTTCAGGAGAAAGGCATGACCACAGATGGGTCCACAGAGCGAGACTTCATCTAAAAAAAAAAAAAAAAAAAAAAAGAGAATGAGAAGAGGAAAAATTTTCTCTACTTCTACTGCTGAGTCCACGTCCGTGCAGTAGGTTAAACTTTCTAGGGTGCTCTGTAAGTGCCTTCCATATTCTATGGAGAAGGCAGGGGGCAGAACCACAAGTACCAGGCACTCCAGGGTTCGTTCCTGACAGCGCAGAGGGGAGAGGCCATGTAAGTACCAGTGTCCTGCCCCCAGAAGCCTCAGAAAACTGTGAAGCCTCAAACAGCACCTCTGGGGCACAAGGTTCCTGACTCTCACCCCGAAAGGTCTCACCATAACTGCCCTATTCCCAGGCACCCCTCCTAACACCTCCAGAGCTGATAGGAAATTCCAGAGTTCCTTTTCCTCCTTCACAAAGCCTCTTCTGTATCAGGAACCAACACTCCTAAGCAGGAGACACAAAGTCTTGTGTGTGTCGGGGACTGTCAATGACAAGAGAAGCCCCCTCACCTTGGGCTGGATTCCCAGGTGCGGAAAGCAGCAGCCGGGCCAGGCATGCAGGGAGAGGCAAGCGAGGTGCCCAGGGTGCAAAACTTAAGCAGGTGTTCACTCTCTGCTGCTGGCCATGAACTTGCACAACCCTGAGAACCAGTGCTTTGTTGTTGCCTCACCCTGGGCAGTGGAGTTGACCTATGAACCATTCAATACATGGTGCCAGGACAACTGGGTATCCACATGGAAAAAGATAAAATTACATCCTTACCTATGCCATACACAAAAATAAATTCAATATGGGTCAAAGACTTAAAGGTAAAAGGAAATTATTAAAACTTTTAGAAAATATAGAATAGGTTTATGATTTAAGTGTAGAGAAGTCCTAAAAAGACAGCAAAGAACAAACCATAAGTAAAAATGTTGATGGCCGGGAATGGCAGCTCACACCTGTAATCCCAGCACTTTGAGAGGCTGAGGCAGGAGGATTGCTTGAGCCCAGGAGTTCGAGACCAGCCTGGACAACATAGCAAGACCTAGTCTTTACAAATAATAATAATAATAAATTAGCTAGGCATAGTGGCATATACATGAGGGCCCAACTACTCCGGAGGCTGAGGTGGGAGGATTGCTTGAGCCTGGGAGGTAGAGTCTACAGTGAACCATGATCATGCCATTGCACTCCAGCCTGTGTGACAGAGAGAGACCCCATCTCAAAAACATAAATTAAATTAATAAAAATTAAACTAGGTTACAGTTATCTATGACTAGTTTTTTAAAGCCACCATAATAACCCAAGTGCAAAGACAAACTAGAAAAGTACATTTGCATCGCAAATAACTGACAAAAGGTGAGTATCAGAATTTGTAGGGGAATAAAACAGATTTTAAAATACATAAAGAAGGCCAGGTGCAGTGACTCACACCTATATCACAGCACTTTGGGAGGCTGAGGGGGGCAGATCACCTGAGGTTGGCAGTTCGAGACCAGCCTGGCCAACATGGAGAAACCCCATCTCACTAAAAATACAAAATTAGCCAGGTGTGGTGGTGCATGCCTATAATCCCAGCTACTTGGGAGGCTGATGCAGGAGAATCACTTGAACCCGGGAGGCGGAGATTGTGGTGAGCCAAGATCACACCATTGCACTCCAGCCTGGGCAACAAGAGTGAAACCCCATCTCAAAAAAAAAAAAAAAAAAAAATACAAAAAGAAAAATGGGCTGGGTGCAGGGGCTCACTCTTGTAATCCCGCCACTTTGGGAGGCCAAGGCAGGAGGATCACCTGAGGTCAGGAGTTCGAGACCAGCCTGGGCAATATAATGAAATCAACTGCACTACTAACCAAGGAAATGCAAATTCAAATTAGTACAATGACATGCCAATTCCTAACCATCTCATTGGCAAAAATGTAGAGGTCTGACAATGCCAAGTGATAGATTATGAGGAAATAAGGACTCCCTTAGCTTGCTGGTGGGACTGTGAATTAGGGAGGCAGCCTGGTGCTGTCCAGGAAGTGCAAAAGGTGTGTGCACATGTGGTCACTACTTAGCTGGCTTCTTTTCCATCCTCAATTCTTCTGAAACATCGCTTCGCCTTCCTCTTCCTAATGCTCAGCTCTGAACGTATCCCTTTCCTTCTTTAGATGCCTTCAATGACTCCCTATTGCCTATGAAGAAGTGCCAAACTCTTTAACTGGACACTTTGGCCTTCAGTGATGAAACCCCAACCCTTGTTTTGGTGTATAACCCCTCCACCCTACATTCTTACAGCTCTACCTGTAAAACTAACAGTATAGGCTGAAAACTCTCTCTTACATCCTTACCCACATGGAATGTTAATAAGAGAGAAGAGTTGGGGGTAATCTACTTTAACACCTTATTATATTACAAAAGAGAATGCTGAGACCCAAGGAGACTGAATGCTCTACCCAAAGCCACACAGCAAGATAGGGGACCAGAGACCTCAACTTTTCTGATCCCGGATAAGGGCTCTTACCATTGCGTATCTCTTCCTGGGCTGAAGTATCAGGCCCAGCTATGGGGGTGCAAGCAGATTGTGCCGAATTGACACAGCCCAGGAGTGACAGCCACCGTTTGTCACAAAGCAAAAGTATCTCAAGATGCTGGAGCAGGAAAGTACTTCCCGTGCCGGCAGCCCACCGGTCCGGAAGCACCACAGTCCCCTTGTGTTCACCTTGTCAACAGGGAGCAGCCAGATCTCTCTTTCGCTGTAATTGGGTTAGTCTTGTGGGTTGGCTGCCCTCTCAGTTGTCAAAAGAGATTATCCGGAAATGTACTGCTGCAGACCAGAGCTCAGGTGCAGGCTGAGGCTGAAGCAGGAGGGAATTTTCAAATGCATTCGTTAATCACCCTAAGTACCTGCTTGTTGCCAGCTGCGCGGCTTTCTCCCTACTGCAGTCAGTTTTGCTCCAAAAAGAACTCAGAGGTTTCTCTGTAAACTGCAGCTTCCTCAGGAAGGTCCGGAAGCTGGTGAGGGTCTGTACTCACCTTGTCTGTATCCCCATGCCTGAAGGGTGCATGATATTAAATCACAAATTAAATCCCATGTCCCACTGTGACATGGGAGGCCACAGAAGAAAGGAAAAAAGCTTTCCTCCCGTGTTTTGAATAAGGGCCCTGCATTTTCATTTTGCACTGGACCCCACAAATTACAAAAGTGGCCCTGACCCCAGCCCAGAAGTTTCTAATGTCTAATGAGTGAGAAGGGGAACATTTGTTTTCTTAAAACCCCAGGGGAGTTGCTCTGGTTGAGGCCTGCACTGACCCAGGGTGGGGACCCAGGAAGCCCAGCCATGAGGCCCCTGCGTTGGCACCTGAAGGCCTCTGTGGACTCGAGTCTGTGAAGACCTCTGACAATTCACCGTCAGAACCCAGAGGTTCTCCACTTCAGCAGGCAAAAAAAGTACCCGGAGAGCATGTTAGAAATGCAAACTCTGCTGGGCGCGGTGGCTCATGCCTGTAATCCCAGCACTTTGGGAGCCTGAGGTGGGTGGATCACTTAAGGTCAAGAGTTCAAGACCAGCCTGGCCAACACGGTGAAACCCTGTCTCTCTTAAGAATACAAAAATTGGCCAGGCACAGTGGCTCACACCTGTAATCCCAGTACTTTGGGAGGTCGAGGTGGGTGGATCACAAGGTCAGGAGATCGAGACCATCCTGGCTAACATGGTGAAACCCTGTCTGTACTAAAAATAAAAAAATTAGCCGGGCGTGGTGGTGGGCACCTGTAGTCCCAGCTACTCAGGAGGCTGAGGCAGGAAAATGGCATGAACCCAGGAGGCAGAGCTTGCAGTGAGCCAAGATCGTACCACTGCACTCCAGCCTGGGCAACAGAGCGAAACTCCATCTAAAAAAAAATAAAAATAAAAAAATTAACCAGGCGTGATGGCTGGTGCCTGTAGTCCCAACCACTCAGGAGGCTGAGGCAGGAGAATCATTTGAACCTGGGAAGTGGAGAGTGTAGTAAGCTGGAATCACACCACTACACTCCAGCCCGGACAACAGACTCTGTCTCAAATAAACAAACAAACAAAAAGACCAGCTTGGTCAATATGGTGAAACCCTGTGTCTACTAATAATACAAAAATTAGCTAGGCATGGTGCTGCATGCCTGTAGTCCTAGCTACTCAGGAGACTGAGGCAGAAGAATCGCTTGAACCTGCAAGGCAGAGGTTGCAGTGAGCCAAGATTGCGCCACTGCACTCCAGCCTGGGCGACAGAGCAAGACTCCATCTCACACACACACACACACACAGACACAGACACACATACAGAAAAAAATAAAAGGAAAGAAAGAAAGAAAGAAAAGAGAAATACAAGCTCTCAGATCCCTGTTCCAGAGATTCTGACTTAGTAAGTCTGTGTGAGGGGAGTTGGAGGGGGATGGCTGAGATTTGCATTTCTAACTTCCTTCAGGTGCACCAAAAAATGAGGCTATGGTCTGTGGTCTACGCTTAGAGTCACACTGGTATCCCCGTTGTTTCACAGATGAGGCAACAGGGACCAGGGATTGAGGTGCCCACCCAGTGATCTCAGTACTCCTGGATAGGCACCATGGAGGCCCACTCTGCACACTAAGGCAGCACCTCCCACTGTGTCATCCCAGCTCTCAGGGAGTCTGAGGAAGGATGGCATGAGTTAGGATCATGGTCTGAAAGTTTCCATAAATGCTTGTAGAGACAATGTGTAGCCTAGAACTGAAAGCTCCCCTCCTCACATCTCCTTCTGATATATTAGGTAAGACAAGCAGCACTGGGGAACAGAAAGATCACCCTTCATCTGCTTTGAGTCTCATTTTCCTTAATAAGAGCCAATATTCATTAACACTTATCAGGCATTTCACATGCGCTAATCCTCTCCACAAGCCTATGGGACAGGTTCTATTATTATCCTCATTTTACAGAGAAGGAAACTGAGACTCAGAGTTTAGGTAATTTGACTAGAGTCATGTACCAGTGTGCAGAGGCGGGGTCTGAACAGAGGCACTATGACTCAATAGCCCCAGCTCCTCTCCACCCTAAAGAAACTATGTTGTTGGAAGCCAGTGACTAGGGCTGTCTTGCTGGAGGCCCTCCCATTGCTGGTGCTTTAGCCCTCCCACATTCCTGGCCCAGCTCCACCCACAGCTCCCAGAGAAGATTCCTATCAGGTGTGCTGCAGCGCTGCCCTCTGGCCCTCCTCAGGCAGCCCTCTGGGTCGGTTCCCATCACCTGGCCCTCAGCCAGTGCTCCTTGAGTGGAGCGCTGGCCTCCATGGGTGAGGGGCTCCTGGCCTCAACTCTGTGCTCTAGAGGGCTTTGCTCCACCCTTTCCAGTGGGGTGGAGAGTCTGTGGAGGGCCAAGGACCTGAAGCCCCTCCTCTAGAATGCTCTGGGTACCTGGGACCCTAGAATTCCCTGCACAAATGTCCCTGAGCTATTTCCAGGGCTTGCTGGGGTTTGTCCCCTGCCCACCTTCCCAAGAGCAACACTGGGTTCATAGGTAGCACTCACCAAATGTGCACACCCTCTAGACCTGTGTCCAGGAGTGTGGAGTGGAGTGTGGGATGGGCAGAACTGACATGAGAGCTGGCATGTCCACAGAGATGGACATGAGGCCCTTCCAGGTTCAGGATGAAGAGCAGGTAGGAAGAGAAGATGGCTGGACCACTAACTGGTGGCCACTTTTCCAGCAGTGCCATTATATTAGTTACCTATTATTGCATAACAAATGACCACCAATTTACAGCTTAAAATGGTACATATGTATTATCTCACAGTTTCTGTGAGTTAGGAATCTCAGCAGGGCTTAGCCAGGCTCTCTGTTTTAGAGTCTCTCAGGAGGTGTTGTCTGGGGCTGCAGTCTCATCTCAAGGCTCAACTGGGGAAGGATCTGCGTCCACATCCATGTGGCTGTTAGCAGTATTTCAGTTCCTTGAGGGTTGCTGGACTGAGGGCCTCAGTTCCCCACTGGCTATTGGCTGGAGGCTGCCCTCATTCACTAGTAATATGGATCCCTGGAACAAGGCAACTTGCTTCATCAAAGCCAGGAAGGGTGGGTGTCTGCTAGCAAGAGAGAAGCCACTGTCTTATATAACCTAATCATGGATGGAACATGTCATTACCTTTGCCATATTCTGTAGGTTAGAAGCAGCTCATGGGTCTTGCCCATACTCAAGAGGAGGGGATTACATAAGGATGTAAATGTCAAAGGTGGGGATCACTGAGTGTCATCTTAGAAGCTGCCTGCCACAGCCATATCCAAGCACAGAACTCCAAGGAATCAGAAAGAGTTCTACATTCAAACCTGGCTTTCTTAATTCATTATGAAGTTATATATATAAAGGGGAGAGAATAGATAATATTTTAGTCAACAGTTTCTTATCTTGAGTTACACCTTTTAAATATTTATAAGTGTGTACATTTAAATATTTAAAAATATTAAGGCCAGGTGTGGTGGCTCACACCCGTAATCCCAGCACTTTGGGAGGCAGAGGCAGGAGAGTAAATGATTTTGATTTGGGGGAAAGAAGAATAGGTGACAGCCTGTGACAAAGTCCATCTGGGCATGGTGTCAATCTCGTCTCTTCTGTGATGTTGTTAATCTTCCCTGGTTGATGAGATCCCCAGGAGGTGACTAATGACAATTGAATTTCTTTTTGGAGGATGTATCTTTAGACAGATGAGGGAACTTCAGAGAAAGTCCCTCTCTGTACTTCGGGGAAGAAAGAGGGGTGAGAGGCAGGAGAGCAGAAGAAGGTCAGAGAGGCCTTGCTTCCTCTTTAGTTCAAAGCACTCAGCATGCCCAAGCACCATACTTCGGGGTATGATTTTCTGGTTTTGTTTTTTGGGTTTTTTTTCAGAGTTTTACTCTCGTTGCCCAGGCTGTAGCGTAGTAGCACAATCTTGGCTCACTGCAACCTCCGTCTCCTGAGTTCAAGTGATTCTCCTGCCTCAGCCTCCCAAGTAGCTGGGATTACAGGTGCATGCCACCACACCCAGGTAAATTTGTATTTTTGGATTGCTTGAGCCCAGGAGTTTGAGACCTGCCTGAGTAACATGATGAAACCCCATCTCTACAAAATACAGAAAAAAAAAAAAAAAATAGCAAGGCATGGTGGCACATACCTGTGGTCCCAGCTACTTGAGAGACTAAATTGGGAGGATTGCTTGAGCCCAGGGAAGTTGAGGCTGCTGTAAGCCAAGATTGTGCCACTGCACTCCAGCCTGGGTGACAGAGTGAGACCTTGTCTCAAAAGAAATTTAAATGAGGCAGAAAAACAGGGAAGGTTAAAAAATTTTTTTAATTAAAAATAAAATAAACAAATATTTAAATATGTAATAGTGAGCTTACACTGATACTTTCATGCTGGCTCCATAAATGTTAAGGACAGGCCTGCTTCTGTGTACATGTCTTGGCCACCACCTCAGACAGGGAAGACCTGTGGGCAGAGTCCTATCTGCTGACTTTTTGCCAACAACCCAAAGCCTAGCACAGTGTTACTGGGGCTCAGAAAATCATACCCCAGCTGGGTGCGGTGGCTCACGCCTGTAATCCCAGCACTTTGGGAAGCCGAGGCGGGCAGATCACGAGGTCAGGAGATCAAGACAATCCTGGCTAACATGGTAAAACCCCGTCTCTACTAAAAGTACAAAAATTAGCCAGGCGTGGTGGCAAGTGCCTGTAGTCCCAGCTACTCAGGAGGCTGAGGCAGGAGAATGGTGTGAACCTGGGAGGCAGAGCTTTCAGTGAGTCGAGATGATGCCACTGTACTCCAGCCTGGGTGACAGAGTGAGACTCCATGTCTTAAAATAAAAAAAATCATAACCCAGCCAAGAGCAGTGGCTCATGCCTGTAATCCCAGCACTCTGGGAGTCTGAGGCGGGCAGATCACCTGACATCAGGAGTTCGAGACCAGCCTGGCCAACGTGTTGAAACCCCATCTCTGCTAAAAATACAAAATTACCTGGGTTTGGTGGCATGCACCTGTCATCCCAGCTACTTGGGGGGCTGAGGCAGGAGAATCGCTTGAACCCAGGAGACGGAGGTTGCAGTGAGCCATGATTGTGCCACTGCGCTACGGCCTGGGCAACAAGAGTGAAACTCTGTCTGAAAAAACAAACAAACAAACAAAACAAACAGAAAATCAGAAAATCATACCCCGAAGTATGGTGCTTGGGCATGCTGAGTGCTTTGAACTAAAGAGGAAGCAAGGCCTCTCTGACCTTCTTCTGCTCTCCTGCCTCTCACCCCTCTTTCTTCCCCGAAGTACAGAGAGGGACTTTCTCTGAAGTTCCCTCATCTGTCTAAAGATACATCCTCCAAAAAGAAATTCAATTGTCATTAGTCACCTCCTGGGGATCTCATCAACCAGGGAAGATTAACAACATCCCAGAAGAGACAAGGTTGACACCATGCCCAGATGGACTTTGTCACAGGCTATCACCTATTCTTCTTCCCCCCAAATCAAAATCATTTACTCTCCAAGTTGCCC